TCCCACACCAAGATAGAGGCAATCGTATTAACAAATCCAAATTACTATTATCGTCAGAATAGAAATTCCTTCAGCAATTTACACAGATATTCATTGAATAAACAATCAATATCTTTAATAAAAATAATTGCCACTGTTACAATAAATATATCAACATACTCTAAAATATTCATAACAGAACTAATCCCACAATACTGTTCTATAAATATCCGCTGCCAGATAATCCTATTTCACTACAAATAATGTAACTGATTCGAATTATTAACGATCGAGTTAAATAACTAATTAGTTGAGTAATATTCAACTCCATTTGAACTCGGACGAGTCGACCGTTAACGGATAAACGAAAAGAAAAAATATTGATTTCATTGAAAACTAGACGGATGGATAGGTCAATGAAAATGATTTAATTGTTACTATTGTTGTTCGGCGAAAATTGGATCGTCGGAATAGAATTTGGATTTGATTGTTTTAGGGTTTGAGGGAGGAAATTGGAAGTCTCCAGAGGCGGATTAGAGAGTTGGAGGCACAGAACCGCGCACTGTCAGGGCTTTTGGTTCAAGCGACGAGTACCAGCAGTCCTGGAAGTCCTACGGAGCTTATACAAAGTATTATTGAGGCTGGACCAGCAGCTCTTGTAGCTGCCCTCGGGCTCGACGCCTCCTGGGTACCACTTTCCAGGCCGCAGTCGCTTAATCTTAAGATTCCTGTAATGGCTGCTACCAAGTGCCGGCGAAATCGACCTTTGGGTAAGATTTATTTAAATTGTCGCCGTAATCTGTAGGGATCTAATTATTTGCAGAATATTCTCTGATAGTCGGTAATTCTTCTCTTTGAGGGAAAAATCATTTTTAATAATCAACGGTGAAAATACAATTGAGGATTTTTATCTAGATCGACTCGGGCGTTTTCCGGGTTTTCGAAAAATTTTCTATTTTCAATTTGACGTTTAATATACGAAATTCACAGGAAAGGTATCATATATGCGGTTTGAATTTGAAATTTAATAATTAACGATTTGAAAATCGAAAAATTGAAGATTTGAAAATTAGGTGTGTAAAAATGTTAAATTGACAATTGAAATTTGAAATTTAAAATACAAAATCCATGACGTCAGAAACTGATGGGAATGAAAAATTTTATCACAAGTTTCCATTTTCCAAATTTCCCATTTCAAATTTCCCAATTTCTAATTTCAATTTTTTTTGCATTTTATCACTTTTGAAATGATTACCCAATATAAACTGATTACCATAACAATATGTAGTAGATGTTACCCACAACACGGACTAAAAGTTATCGAAAACATAAATCCGATGTTGAAAGCCACATTACCATAAAAAAAAGTGGAAAAAAATCATGTGACTGCATAGCATGTCCAATTTCTAATTTATTGCCAGCCAGAACAAAAGGAAATCACTGAGCGTTCGACCAATATAAATTCTTCATCCATAACTGAACATACCTTCCGGGCAATTAATATGCCATAGTACACTTTCCCAATGATCCCAAATATGTGTGATTTTTCTCAGATTTTCAAGATGTGTTTTAGTACGTATTTTTATTATACATCCTAATTAGTCAAAATATGAAAGAGGCCGGCTGATTAAATTCTTCTCTTTTGAACTCGAAATAACCTCATTACACAGATGGATGTTACGATTGAAAAGCTCTGGCTGGGGACTTCGTCAATTGATCTGACGTACAAGTAAAGGAAATTTTGACCAAGAAAATCCCTTGGCTTACAACTCCCTGAATTGAATATCAAAGAGAACCCCAAGGCCGAGTTTTCCAACCGAAAATTTCCTGTTTAATAAAAATATCTTTCCTCTTGTATTTAATCAACAAAAGTAATGCAGATATTCATAAAAGTGAAAATGAAAACGGAAAATTCCATACTGTCTCCAAATTTATATAAAAAAATATAAAAAATGTATAAAAAATCGCACCTACTCATAAAATTTTTTTTTTACTGATAAACAAAGCTATTGTCTTCATAAAGAATTCAATCGATTAATCGTTATTTATTATTTATGAATAAAATGATATAGAATCTTTTTAACATTCTTTTTGCACACTGGAGTACTGGCTCCGACTTTCTGCCTGGCCATTCCATTCAGCATAGCTTTTCTTGTATTACTTTCCATTTTTTCCCGTTCATAAATTACCGATTTGGAAATAAATCCTATAAACACCAGCTTACGACTACAAGTTTTTATTAAAAGTATTTATTCCTGGCGAGACTATTACGATAAATTTACCATTAAAAAGGGATACGTTCAGTCATCAACAAAAAAAATACTAAATTTTTCTTGAGCATGAAGAAATAATTGCCACTTTAATAATCGCCTCAAGGTCGAGATAAATTCAGAAACAAGAATGAAATTTCAATTGCTACATACAACCGCAATTAAATGAAGAAATAAGAGTTGTTGAGACTTCCTAGAGTTGTTTAAATAAAAAAACGTTTGTTTGATTTAAACTATAGGTCAAAAAGCATCGGAGGAGGAAGGAAGTGAGAGTCCAGAGAGTGGAAATAGAGACGAAGGGTACTCGACGATGTCATCAGATGTACAGGGTGAGGGTGTACGTCAAGAGCCAGCACGGGGTTTGGAGGACCTCAAAGAAGCAACAGACGAAACTGAAGCTGACGTATCTCCTGATGCTCGTCTCGTCGCCCTCGATAACACCGATCCCGATGTACTGTTTCTACCCTTAAATCTCGCCATTGGAATCAATCCAAGACACAGTTATCCACCGTCAAAGGATCTTGCACCCTATCAGCATGTGATGAGAAGTTTCTCTGATAGCCACTTGTATCTCAAGTTAACGGCCGCGACAGCTAATTTAACTCATCCTCCTTATAATATCTCCAGTCCCGCTGGTTCCTCCAGTCTTCTCTTAATTGAGGAAGAAGGCTGGGATGCAGAATACGTCCAGCAGTGGCTGAGGTAACATCAAAAAATTTCTGTAAATACCTTTCCCCCAAGCTTTTTATCTCATAATCTTTTTGTCTCATAATCTTTTGTTTTCAAAAAAATGTCTAACAATTGTAAATACCTACCAAAAAACAATGGGGCAAAATAAGTCTATGAATTGTGAAGTCAATTATTAAAATAACTCGCTATTATCAAATATTGTCATGCAATGCAATGAATTAATGCAAAAAAAATTACTAAATTAATTGGCGTGCCACAATGGTTTTTTTCATTTTTATTACTAAGATGCTTGTCAATTTCAATCGAAGTATTAATTATTGTTATTAATTATTTTTTTTCAATTGTCAATTGAGCTAGTTATATGTAAAACATTAATTGTTCGTTCTCCATCCAATTGATTCGTTCGAATATTTTCTCTCTAGACCAATCGGTTTTTCAATTAACCGATTTTTAATAAAATGATATTCAACGCATGGTATTTGATCGGTGTATCTAATTGACTTTATAATTTAAATGATTTTGGATATTTTTAACAGACTGGATGACTCCAGAAGTGCCCAACAACACCGAGACCTCCTGGAACTGGAGTACGATCGTGCTGAGCTTGAAGACTGGTCTTTTTCGCTGTCCAGTGAGGATCTTCGAGCTGAGCCTACATGGAAGGAAGATACCCGTCCCCTGGCTCCAGCACTTCCAGCAATAAAAGAGCACAATCCGATTGAACTCGAGGAGGATGCTAATGAGTGCTTGTGGAATGGAGCAAGTTATTTGGCAGATAGAACCGGTGGTGAACTCGTTGCTCTGCTCATGGACACCAGAACATCTGGTCCTTGGCCGTATGCATCAAGTCCTGGTGCATCTTGGAGCAGTGAAGATGGCATTCTCGAGTGCTCGAGCAAACGCTCATCAGCAGCTCTATCTGGTTATAGTGATGATCATGACTCACCATCAATTGGTACGGATTTTACCCGGGATTTTTATCGACTAGTCAAATTTGAAAGCACTAAAAGCCTCGCTAGCACGTCTTCCAAGGGTGGAAAACCACCTGATCGTGAACAGGCACTTCAGAGTGTACTTTCATTCATTGCTGAGCAACAAATGTACCTCACTGAATTGCCAAACAATTCACATTGCAAAGATCAAAACGATATCGAAGGTAAATTCATGCTTTTTTCAAATTACACGACAAATTACATGATTTGAGAGATTTTTAATCAAACAAAAATGCAGCTAATGTTAAGAAAATGTTTGTAGCTCTTGTTTGGGATATTAGATTATTAGTATCTCTCGAATCATTTAAGAAAAGATCTATCGGCGCCTTAACGACTAAAGTACCAAAATAACTCTTTTCCAAAAAAAAAATAACGGGTGAACCTCTTGTATTCGTGCTTTCCTGATGTTTTATAGAATTTTTGAATGAAAACTCAGTAAGAAAAGAAGAAATAAATCGTAATGACCAAGATAAAGGTCTGGTTTTTAATTGCGATTGCCTAAATATTCACGTGAAAATAAAAAAAAGGTGAAATAAGATCTGCAGTTCAAGAATTTTCATTCATTTTACTTCAAAAATTTGATCAGCTTATCATAGCTATCGATACAATTCATCCGCTTCAATTAGCACAGCCGAACTGAATATGTTCTGTTTTACCGCATCCGAAAGAACTTGAACACCTAATGAAAATACTTTTTTAGTGGCTGATTATGAGTACAAAGGGGATACCGGAGGAGTAATAGACCACGAAGTGTTGGAAGATCAGAGACCACCAGCTGAAGCTACTGAAAGACTCCCAGATGTGCCACCAATGCCTTCTGCACAATCAGGAGAATCATTTGAAAGAATTCAAGGAATTTCATCACTACCTGACGATAGGATTGTGCCGTGCCCTGGCTTGGGAGAGTTGGGAGCTGTTCCTGAAGAGGATGAGGAGGGAGCGACTTCTTCTACTCCCAGTACAGTGGTAAGAGCCCTTTATTTATTTATAATTTTCATATTTAAATTACAAAGCCATTCATGCTTCATAATCGCCTGGAGAAATTTTTAATGAACTAGTCGCGCAACCTACTTTGCGTATAATTGAATCTAATCGCTTTAATGTTGATAAAAAATTCCATAGTAAATAGTTTTTCTACCATTTTTATTTGCTCTTTACTATTTCGGGTCACATATTCGATAAGTTCGTCCATGAAAATGAAATAGATGAGCATTTGCGGGGATAAGACAGTTTATTATGGATTTTGTTTAAGCGGTATTATTATTCTTCGAAACGTGAGACGTGAAATTCGATACATTATCATCGATATAACTCTTGAGCTAATGCATGGAACTGGAAAAATTCAATGGCATTATAAAAACCTCGTTATGTCCTTTGGAATGGCTTGAAATATGTCCGCCTAAATGATATCCAATGCTACGAAATTTTGCAATAAACGTAAATTCCAGTGTGAGATACCAAACAAAAAAGAAAAATAGTCCAGTAATTGCAATCCAAAAATGCAATCAAATTGTAGGGAATGAACTAGCACTAGAATTTTATTGAACTTCTCGATACCTGTGACCTTTCAATTCGAGTTCATAATTTCAAAAGCTATTATTAATTAAAAACAATACCTATCTCGATATTATTTATATTCTAGGTGAGTCCAGCAAGAGCTCCACTTCTCATCGAAGGTCATGACAGATCCATTAGCTTCCACGAAAGAGCAACATCAAAAGATGTAATCAACGAACTCAACCGGATGATTAGGAAAGGCGAAGAAAATCAAAATCAATCACAAGAACAGAATGTTCCCATCGATAAATTGGATCTTGCGTGTTGCTGTCCCACTGGGTGGGTGCATGTTGAACGCGATATTGATTTTACTGATCCAAAGGTAATTTCCCATTTTTTTATTATAACACCGCGAATTGTATATTTTCAATATTGAATTTAGGCAAGAGCAAACCTACTGGATGTAATGTTAGCAAGTTCAGAAAGTTCATCAGCAACATCAAGCAGCGGATCAGCTGGAAGTGACTCTGGAGATGAACCCTCCGATTATCGTCATCTACATCGTCTCCATCGTTATCGGCGTCAGAAGAAAGGTTTGAAAAAAATCAAATTTAAATGAAAAAAACTCTGCAAATAATTTCTCATTGATTTCTGAATTTGTATCTAACAATTAACTCACCTTGCGGCTTCCTGCCACTATCTGCTTTGTCTCTAACTCACTATCATCAGAATTAACTAATTGTTACGATAACACTTCTTTAATCTCTAATTAATTATCATAAATTCTTGTGCGAATATCGAAATAATTGATTAAGCATTCCGAAATTTTCTTACCCCAAAGCAGGAATGCGCAAAAAAATAAATCACGAATCACGAATAATATTTCAATTGCACTAAAACTTCAATAAATTCTATGACTGTATAAATTCCCTAAATTTGTATCGACAAACATCGAAGAACTGCACAAGAATTTATGAATTCTGAAATGGAGTGATAGAAATAGATGAGTCCAAACATTTTATCTTCATTAATCCTTCATTAATGAACATCTTAAAAACTAAAAACTTTATTAAAGAGTATGAAAAATAATGCAATTTATTATACAATTCAATAATATTATACATTCAGAGTAATTGCAATCTTTTTCAATTTCGCTAAATATTTTAGGTATTAATTGAGTGAATTAACTAAAAAATTATTCTGTAAAGATATAAAATTTGGACTCATCTCCTTCGACCCCCGAAAAACTAACAGATTTTCATAATTCTTTTTGTACTCACCCATACCTACATATTTTCATTATTTTCTGTTCAGATGGTAGCGCCTACGCGGTGTGCTTTGATTGTCACGAGAAAAGCTATGTAGTTCGGCTTAGTGATGACCAATTTCTCTAAAAAGCTAAAACGAAAAAAAAAATGACGAACGAAAGCACAGAATGACCACAAAATAACGGAAAAACCGATCAGAAAACAATCGAGAGAGAATTTCTAAGCCGAACTACAGTGCCAAAAGCGCTAGAAGGATAGAGGAATGAGAGGAAAGTGATTTTTGGATATTTGGAATGAAAGGAAACAGGAAAATGAAAGGAAAAGAGCAAAAAAAAAACATTGAAATTGGTATTTCTCAGCATCGGCAGTCCAAGCCCATCGGGTTCTACGTTTGACATCATCTTGGGGCTCAGGCAGACCCTCAATTATTGGACGGGGTGATGATTTTTATGTACGTTATGGTGACAAGGAGCGAGAGGCTGTTGCCTCCTTTGATTTTCTCGATGATATCACGGCTAATTCATCATCGTCTGGTGAACTTGATGACTTACTACCGACTACGGAATTTATGAAGGTCTCACCATTGTGAAATTGAGCTTAGAGAGATGAAAATATACAAAGTTTAGAGTATAAGCATTGTTTTTGTGAATTCTCAAAATGTTAGAAGGATTTAAACTTGCAGAGGATGAAACAGTGATTGAATAGCCAGGAAAATCGCCCATTCTGAATAATACCTGAGCATCAATTTGTCATTGCATGACTAATTATCGCACGTTCATTTCAACGCAAACAAATTTAACAAAGTATTCAAGCAACTCATGGTGAATGAATATTTATTTCATTA